AAATAATATTGTGAATGGGGTAAGACACCCCTAACACCCCTCGGGGTGTGTGTGTTCTGTTAAGATACAGCCTGTTGTGCCTTAAAATGGCTTCTACTGTACTGCCGCAAATTGGATTATACTGTACAGCGCAGTGGAGTTGCCATGGTAATGGCTTCACAGTACTCTACAAGGGGGCTCCCTCTGGTAAGGGGGAAATCCAACATTAGAAATTACGTTTGGTCCGGACATTTCCCCCCTATAAATAAATACCCAGGCAATGCTGGGTTATCAGCACTATGTACTCTAAAAGTTTCCATTCAAAGCTGCTTTGCTTTAAGAAAGCCGGTTGAGCATATCTGTTACTCCTCCATATTATAAACACAGCTAAATCTGGGAGCAACTCACATCGGTATCATCCATGACTGTTCCAGTGGTCGTGCCATCTACTGTGGGACTGGAGCTGGTAGAAGTGTCATAGTCCAAGGTGACGATAAGGACTTGAGCGGCTTGCTCCACCAGTGGTTCACGATAGTCCGAGAAGAGCAAGTGGTTATAGGGAATCCCATAACCCACTGGATCATAAGCAGAGACGATATTCAAGAGGGAAGTAAAGAGCGGAAGGGCATGCCTAGAAGAGGATCCAACATGCTCAAAACAATGTTAAAAGCTTTCTAACAAAGAATAAGCTTTCATTTTATTAGCAATGATTAAATAGCGTTTTTATTCCTCAGACACATTCATTAGTGAAAAGAAAAAATGCATTTGAGGTCATTATTCTTACTTATTTTAATGAATGAAATAATATGCTATATGAATGACAACATAGATTAAAACATCCTATTTTGCTCTCCAGTATGGCTAAGTGACTGCAAAAGAATGTCACATATTTAAAAACTGACCCAACTCTTTCTAAAAAAAAATTCTTCAATTTATAATAAAAAGAACCCATTCATTTTGTATAATCTGCTAATTATTGCAAACTGCTTATTTTACAGTGCCTCCTGTCTTAAGGACAAATGTTCAGCATGCTACTAGGGTGAGGTGGGAGGCAGCTTTCCTGCTAACTCTATGGCGGGAGGGTTAGCAGTTGTCTGGATATAGTCTAGTATTCCAAAACCATCCACTATTTGGATCAAACATTGATTGGCTCCAATTAGGCAAACATAGCCCTAAAGACATATATACTGAAGTAATAAGGAAAAAGAAATAACTGAAGGCATAAGGAGTAATGGAATAATGTCTATCGTATATACACAATCCTTTTAATTAAAGAAGGTTTAGATTAAACAAATGTGTTTCAAAGCATCCATCGCATGCAATGTGCTATTTCTCACCTGTTCTCTGTAGAACAGAAGAACTGGACCCAAGGATTAGTGTTGCTGCTATCAGAGGAGGGAGGCAAGTACATGACCTCCGAGAAACAGGTCAGCAGAAGTTTCAGTAGCTCTGTCCTGAAAAATGTATGAATAGCAAGTTTCGGTCAGAGGGAGTATTCATTATTATTCACAGGGACTTTGCCACAGTTTTATTCTTTATTTTGTAGGAGCAAGTTTGTTAAACTGTTTTTAAAAAAATGTGCTAAAACTAGAATGAGGCTTTCCTACAGTAGGATTTCTTAAAGAAATACTGTACAATTCAAGACCTTTAAGCCACCAGGAGCCACAAAGACATTTACTACAATATTTAGTATTAGAGACTGGCCGGGCAGGGGAGTGGGAGGGAGGCAGAAGGAGAGAGTCAAACAAGGAATTAGTCTGGAATTCCTATGTGAACATAAGAGGGTGAAGTCTGACAACCCCCTTGAATGTCATTGAACCTTATCTAGGTGCAGACCATCAATCTGAGAAGATTCCTGTGTATAGGCTTGAGCAATAAAACAACTAATTGAAGTCTTCACCTATGGATCTAGTTGTTCGGACCTCACAGTTTATTCAACTGGATATTCTGCTTAGCTCCATCCCAATCAGAGTTTATGTACAGTGACTACAGAAAACTAACAATGAAGTAAAAGATAACAAATTGTGTAGTCATTTATAAGCCATGCGTAATAGTAGTGGCAATTTCTGCACTTTAATAAATTAAGAATGTCTCAGTTTTTATATTCTATGATGTTCATCCAGAAGATGGACTTGAAGTTAGTGATTAAGGCACCAGGTTAAATAGCAGGAGACCATGAGTTCTAGTCTTGCCTTAGGCATGAAAACCTAAGGTGACCTTGGGCCAATCACTCTCTCATAGCTTGATCTGTCATTTGCTGATGTCCTCACCTATTTAAATCATGGCTGAAGTTGGGCGACGGTGAATGAGCAAATCCAACACCAGCCTCCCAGATGTATTCACAACTATCAATTGCATGGATGTCCTCAGCCGTGTCCTGGAAAAGAAAAAGAAATTAGCACATCAAATAATGCCAAACCTTCCAGGTAAAATTATGAATAGGACTATGAATATTTAGACAAAATCTCTCAATTCTCTTGCAGATGGAAGAAACAATGACCAGTGGTGCAGAATTAGAGGGTACCTTCTAGCATTACTAATTCAAATCATGTGAGATAGCCTTCCCCACCTTAATGGGTTTTCTACAATAAGAAGAAAGGTGGAAAAAATACAGAAAGACATGCAAAGTTTACAGGGTTGTGTGAATGAGGCGTACTGATTGCACATTAAAAGTCTCAAAATGACAGAGTGAGGATGACTGCACTGATACCAGCGTGACAAAATGCATAGCCAGCAAATAGACCAGCTCTTTGTAACCCCTCTCCAAATGAGGAGAAAATTTGAGATCGCCCACAAGTGCTCCTAACAGTTGCTCCTTGTACGGAGATCACAAGGCAATGGTCTTCAGCAGGTTTAGAGCAGTTAGAGATGAGGGAATACCTATCTTTTTGCTCAAACTGCAATCAAAGCCTTCAAAAGTGTAGGTTTGAGGTTTGAGGTTTTATTCAACTTGAAGGGACTCAAGGCGGCGAACAAACCGGAAGGGAAGGGAACAATACAAATGGAAAAAAAACAAGACAACAATACAAAACCAGTTTAAAAGGTCTCAACAAACACACCAATTCGAGTGGGGATGGAACTCAACAACCCCAGGCCTGCNTCAAATGGAGTTGAGTGGTTTCTTTCCTGATTACTAAATGAAGTCAATGCTGACAATCAGAGAGGAATAGAATTTTTTTTTAACCGTTGAGCCACTCACCATCAAACTGGTACTGAATAATATTGTTGAAGACTTCCAGCAAAAAGAAGACAAGGTGATGGTTTTGCACCATGGAGAAAAGGAACCAAGTAGTTGAAAATGCTTCCAATAGATGCAGCAATTTGTTAGCTGCTACCATGGAAAGAGATTTCAAGTATGGAGATACTAGGAGATGGAAAAAATTAAAAAGAAAGGAAAAGTCATTTGGGGAGATCAAACATCCACTATAATTATGTACCATATTAGTGTACAATCAGTTAAGATCCAAGTGTTAAGGTCCATATCAGTTAAGATCCAAGAGTAACATCGATATCTTAACACTTGCTATGGGAAGGCGCTACAAATTAATTTTATAAAGGGAAATAGCAATAGTGTAAATGTCACTGAACTCTTGAACAGCTACATCATAATGGTAAAGAAAACGAACGCCATCTACTGAGAAGAAGCCAGTATTACAGCAACTCTTCAACCACTTTTAAAATTATATCCTCTTTGAACGATGACATCCCTCAAATAAAACCAAGAGATGTTCAAAGCTACACCTATATCTCCTAATTTTTCAACAGTTGCCTCCAAAAAGAGTCTTGGGTACTAAAATTAAATTTCTAGACATGATAAGGCCTGCATGCATGATTATACTGGTTTCAATTCTGAAGGAAAACCACACCGCACTATTTGCCCCCAAGATTTTGAAAATTAAAATATTGTTTAAATATATATATTAAGGCTTTCAGTTTTGGCTGTCATTGTAGAGTCGGCAACTTACCATTCACTATGATGGTAAGGAGGCAGTCAAACAGGGGCTGCAATCGCTGATGTCCACTAGTGATGATTTTATGAAAAACCTGCAGGATAGAATAGAAAGTAAGAATGTAAACAAAAGATCACAGAGCTGCTGTACTATTTTTATAGCAGCTAGATTCTCTGCTACGAGCAAAGATGCTGCTAGCAAATTCCAGACTCACAATGATGAGAAGATCTGCATGTGTCCCTGTAAAGACAGGAATATCCATTGGTACGCGTACAGAATATGGTTTGTTGAGACGAACACCGAAATTTCTTTCCCCACTCAGCAGCAATAAGATGAAGACACCAATATGCATAAGACCAACTCGAGCTGTAAAAATATGGCGCCAAAATTAAATCTGTCAGTGGCCGGAAGGCAAGCCAGCCATTAACAATAGCAGTTCAAAAGCAAAATATAATGCTTACTAACATCAATATCTCACTCTCATTTGGTGTGGTATTCAAAAAAAAAATGGTTCAATGACACCCATGCTGCTGTCCAGCAGACATTTTAACATCGAGAAGCAGCCTGCATGTGTTGCTATGCAATTTTATGCAGAACTACAAATGTAACCCGTATGACTCAATATGTGGATAAATACATGTGGTTGCTTTTGGTCCCAACTCAGCTCTGGCCCTTCTCTAACTAGGATCTCAGAAATCACTGATCTTAATCTATCCCACAAAATGACATGGAAATAGCTTGTGGTCTTATCTGAATTCATTCCCTTGACCTTTAAAGCCTATAAACAAACACATTTCTCTGGCATGTTCTAACATTATTATCCAATATGGCTGGTTACACAGCCAGCCAAATGTTAGACTAGGTTTGGCATTTTTATCCACCTATCAAGTCCTTTATTATTAAGAGATATACAGAGGTGTAGAAGTATGTGTGTGTGAGAGAGGGGGGGATGTAGAAAGAAAGAAAGGAAGGGAGGGAGGGAGGGAGGGAGGGAGGGAGAAAGAAAGAAAGAAAGAAAGAAAGAAAGAAAGAAAGAAAGAAAGA